CAGGTCACAGCGACCGACATCTCCGGTACTAGCCCGGAGAGTTAGTAGAGTTCTTCCTGATTGCAAAATTTTTTTTTACTCAGCATAATCGGATCCATTCTGACGATCGCCAACGTGTCGGGTTCGGGCAAGGACGTTGGCCAAGGCTACGTCAACTTCATGAGGAACTCTATGGATCAAATTAGATCGAAGGTATGGTGAAACACCCTAAAGACTTACATACGTAATCTATTAGAAGTCTCAATTAAGACTTAACATATTTACGTTTACAAAAGAAAAGTACAGTGCTACAATTTACATAGCTGCGTAGTGATATTTAAATAATCTCTCAGAACTACACATTTCTAGATTACTTGTCATCAATTTGTAGAATTTTGGTTGTAGCATTGATTTGACATAATGTTCCCTTTTCGTCTCTAAATAAAGAAAACCTCGAAAATTTGTACGTTTCTTTCTTAATTTCTTTCTAAATTGCAAGTTTTCCTTGTCCTGACCAAAAAAACATGCTTTTGCTGGGAAATTACGTTTTTTCTTATAGAACCAATTACAAAATTAAATTAATAACCCAGTAACAAAAATCGTGTCACATGGTGTAATTGTTAGCACGAAAAAAACACGCATTTCAGTATGACCTATTACAAATGGTATATTTGGTAATATGTTTTTTTATAAAAGAAAACGATCTCAAAAGTTGTCACTAATTGCCAAGTTTTATTCAAACCGGTTACCGGAAAGTGCGCGAAACCGGATTCACCCCTATTTGCCACCCCTAGAGGGGAATATTTTCAAATTTAAATGGGGCCAATACTGAGGTACCCTTTTTCCAGTAAAAAAGAACCATCAAAATCGGAAACCGAGCCATCAAGATCAAAAAACTCGTGTCTCCAGGCTAGCAACGCAATTTGATTGTAGGTCACAGATGAGCTATGGATCCTGCAGCTGTTCGAACATTGGTACGGCATCCAGGTGGGAATGATTAACACCTGGTTAGGTGAAAGACCTGCGCTGCACCCCCAGCAGGTTGCCTGCCTCTCCATTATTATGAAGGTAAAATGTGTAAAACGATAATTTTTTTTTATTATTAATTTATTTCTGGCCATGGAAACAAAGTCCTTCAGCCGAAAACATAAAAATAAGTTTTTCTGTAAATATGGCCGCCACAAAGAGGATAGGCAATTTGGCGTGCTTGGATTGACTAAGGATTCCTTAGAACGGGCCGATACGGGTATTTTATTTCGAGATTCGTATAATTTCGCGTTTTAATCTTCGATTAAGGCACAATAGCACTATCCTATTCCACTTTAAACTAGGTTTCACAAAATAATTGAAAGTCAAAATAAAAATCCCTCCAAAAGGTCCAGAGCGAATCGATAAATTATAATTATTTTATATATTGCAAGTTAACAATATTAACGTAAAATTAGGGAACTATTTTTATTCATGAATTTTGTATTTGTAATAACATAAGTTTTTTTTAAGTAAAATAACTCTTTTAAACTTATATCTATAGTGAGTAGTTTACTTGACAGATATAATCCTCAAGAAAGATTAAGCTGTAGTATGTTTCATAAAAAAAAAAAAACTCTTATAATTATTATTAAATATTTTTATTCTGTAACTTTTGTACTAACAGTACAATAGATAACTTGTAAGTTACTAACAAAATGGACTGTATGCAATAAATGATTTTTATTTCATTAATACTATAACTCACTCATATACCCGCACCAGGGTTACCCTGAGTCGTGGATGTCATGGACATACAAATAGACAACCGCAAATTACACGTAAACTCACGATAGAAATAAATGTAGGCCATACAAATATTTCTCCCGGCCCGGGCATCGAGCCGTTCAACCACAAAGACAGTTAAATATTTATTATAATCTCGTTATAGTGCTTTTAGTGCGTGTAAGATAAAACAATGACCTTTTTTTTTTAGAAAATGTACAGTGACTTCGAATTGCAAGGTGTTATAGATGACAAGCTCAACTCCAAGATTTATCAAAATGTGGCCTCGAGAATGCACACGGAGGAAGCAACTTGTAGCTTGCTCTTGGCTCAACAAGACGCTAGGTGCGTATAACTATATACTTCGTAAAACGCAACGGATTACCGTAGTGTGAACACCTCGAGAAACCAAACGCAAACAAAAATTCGTAGGGTCCGCTAGTTCATTTCTCGTAGTGCTCGATCTTTGTATTAATAATTATAATAAACTTGTGGTCAAACATTCAATAAAACATAAAAAACAAATTACTTTTTAGTTTTTTATAATATCAAGTGACGAAAAAGTCGGCGCCTGATGGCAAGCTACACGCTTGTCCATAACAGTTGCGTGCTACTTAGAGATTTAAATCGCAAAGATTTGAGGGGCACTGCCACTGCGTCCGACATCCTGAGATATAATTTGATAAGTCCCATGTGCCTGTAATTTCACCAGCACCCTTACCCTTCAAAACCGGAACACAATAATGCTGACATTACTGCTTGGCGGCAGAAATAGCTAATGTGGTAGTACTTCCCTGAACAAACTCTTTCACCACGAGCTCTACTGGTATTAAAACACTTACATTTACTTACTTTACTTCTAACAATAGTGTTTGTTTTGTAATTTATTTTGTAAATTTCACCTGGTCTTAATTTTTTTTAACAAATAATATTTTTTTCACCTCACTAGCTCGGAAAGGCTTTCTTTCTCATTAGAAATTTGCGCGTAAAAGCGTTTTTTGCACGCTAGCGTGAAAAAGGTTTTGAAATTCGAACTTGACGATGGACTGTGGTGCAACTTTTTCTGTCGATGAAAAAAAAGAGATAATGGCACGTTCAATTAAGCGATTTGTCGTACATTACTTATTTATGTAACATAAATCCGTTGGTATATTTTATTCTTATTATTGTTAACATTAAATTGACAATGATAACTAATTGTGTTTATTAAATTATTCTAATTCGTCGAAGAACAAAATAATTTAAATAATCACTTAATCACACAAAATAAAAGTACAAGCAAGAATAAAAATTGATGACGTGTAAATTCAGAACGCATACGAAGATAAACTTTTTCTTTTCATTATAAAAAGTTTTATAGTTCAACTGTTTTTTTTTTCATCTACCATTTTCCTCGCTTTGGTGAGGTGAAAAGTTGTATGTTTCGCTCGGCAACAAAGTTGATTTGTGTCTCGTGTCTTAAAACCCTCACTACGCTCAGGAATCTATATTTGAACCACGAGCGAATGTTTCGCTTGCTCAGGGTTCAATACAAGCACTCGCAGCAAACAACAACTTTGCAGCCTTCCATAACAAATAAGTATTTTTTATCGTATCGATCGTATATACTATAATGCTGCCGTCGTGGTGAAACGTTTTGCCAATAGACGTAAGGTACTCGCCATTTGTAGTCCATGATGCGGCAGACGTACGGGAAAGGAATGTTATCTATGTCATGCTAGGAGATTCCTTTTGTGCGTCCCACAATTCACAAATAGTAATTTGTATCGAGTTATAAATCAAGTTTATTCGTTTTTTTTTTTTTTTTTATTAAACCAACGTTTCGGGCCCTTACTAGCAAAGGGCCCGAAACGTTGGCTTATTAGCAGTGGTTGGTTAGCAGTGATTTGTTTGATAAAAACAAACATATGCGATCTAAATCCATAAAAATACTTTCATTTTCATAATAGTAATGTAGGTAATTGAACTTGGCATAACGGTTGACACTCGCATTTACCATTAAGTTTTGTAAAACTATGTCAAGGAACTAACGTAACCTTCAACACATTATGTACGTTTTGTTATTTCAAAAAGACGGATGATGGATGGCCAGTGTCATTAGACGTAACTAAATTTAAACCTCTAGAAAACAAATGACTATTCCATTGAATACGCTCATTATTTTTGTTCATTGGCGCCTTAATTAGTTTTTTTTTAAGTAAAGTAAGTATAAGTAAAGTAGGTGCTTAGAATGTAAACTTTTGTTGCAGTGGTGGCGATGAAGGTTCCGAAGAAGGTTCTCGGAGTGGCGGTAAATCTAAGCTGGAAGCTCTTACTGAGGAGGCAAAACTTGGCAATGTAACCGCTGTTGTAGGAAAGGTACATTTCGTCGCAACGAATTATCCAGACGCCGAGCACTTCCGTTCTAATCTACATTATGATTTTGTTTTGTTTGTTTTAGGTTGGAAATATGTTTGGCCGTGGCATCGGAGAGTTGTCAACAAAGCTGGGCGGGGCGTCTTCTTGGTTTTAGCGCATTTTAAGCCCCACATATTCACACCTTATTGTAACCATACCTTTTTTTGCGTATATAGATGTATTGAGGTGAGGTTTCAAACTGCTTTTTGTTACTGCATCACTTTTATTTTAACATCGTTACTGATATAAAACACCGCGTATCTTGTTCCAAAATGGTGCAGTAATTATAAAGCGTTTAACTATTCTGTGATGACGATAAAGAAAATTCGTTTGCATTCAAATACATTCTAGAATGTCCGCCATTTTGAAATAATATTTCGTAAACAAAATGGCGTCTTACGCGCTAGAAAATATATATATAAGTGGCCAGTTAATGCATAGCTTAGTGTGATTAAACTAGTATTGAAACAAGGTCTAGATTTTATTTTATAAAAAAGCTTTATGTACAGTTAGGGTCATTATTCGTTTTGGAGCAAGTACCATTATAATAGGTGTGTATAATAAGAGTAGTATTTGATATCACGAATGAATATAATAATGAGATAATATTACGAAAGCATACATAGACACAATGCTACAATAAGAAGACATATCGCTTTGGCAAAATAATTATGTTATATTTAATCGCGATGGTATTATACATTATTTACAAAAAATATATTTAACAATATATTATTTATTGGTTGGGGCGGAATGCGTGCGAAAAGATGGTTTAAAAGTCTTTTTTCGATATAATAACGTTATGTTTTAATCTTTTTAAAACTCGTTGAATTCATATTTCCTTGTTAATCTATGTGTTATTTAATCTATATTCCTCAAGTTACTTTGTTTATGTGTGATGAGCACAGAGTTTGTTATAGTGCAATTTTTCCATGCAATCTTGCTGTATTTAAAATAAAATCAGTATTTTTCTAATAGAGTGTCGATTCCACTTTTCTATATTGTTTTTAAATCTTAACTCTAATCTCACGTTACCTCGAAACTGGCGTAAAATTTTCTAAATGCATTATTATAAAAACGAAATATGCGTGTAAAATCGCCTTATTTTTTGACAAAATATGTTGCCAGTTAATCGAAGAGCTCCCACTTTTTAGAGAAAGAACAGTTTTTATAAAAATGCATTATTGGAACTTCGACTAGACTTTTGCTATAGTGTAATTCTCTATAGTTCTACGCTCTTTAGGTTCAAAAAATCTAGTGATTGATTACACTTTACCTTGAACTAGTCAACATAATAACTACTACTAACTACTATTTATAAAAATATTATAGTTATATTTGTTAAAAAAAATATTCTTCTACCCTAAAACACCTTACAAATTTTGAACTAGTAAAAAATTTAAATTCTTAGGTAAATTAAAAAATAAATAAATAGCGAATAGTCGCTATGCTGATCGCCTTAATAATGTCTCGTTGGAAATGGCGGAGTTTAAATAATAAGAAAAAAATATATAATTGTTTTCATATTGCTTTAGCTTCATTTCCTCTACCTTTTTTTCATATGCATTCATTAGAACTCTTCAAAAATTCATCTAACGCATAAACCCATTATTACCATGATTATTTAATCGTTTCCTGTGTTCAGTTTTAGTTAAAATTTTAATTCAAATTTTGACACTAGTACAATAAGGATGAGTATATTAATAATGACACGCATAGGGCAGTACATGGCACAGTAAAAATAATGTATAAAAGGGGTAGTGCTCATTAATCATTAATAAAATTAAATATAAATTAGATACCTTCCATAGTGATCACGTCAGTCACTTCGTCTCTTTTGAGAATTACTTTAAAGTTAAGTACGTTTCTTCATTCTATCCTCATTTTTTAATTATGAACCACAGTTTCTTCACTTGCCTAATACTTTTTCTTGTCACAACATTGTTTCACTGTCACGTAGGACCCCAAAAATATGGACTATAAAAATGAAAACGATTTAGAAAATATAACAGAATACACATTAACACTGAATTCCATTTAGAACAATGTCCTTTTCTTATACGTGTAGTCAATTTGACCTGAATACAGACCACCGAAGCAGAAAAAAGAGACCACTCGCACCTAAATAAATAAAAAGAAATACTTTTAATGTTCTAGTGAAAACCTGGCATTCGCCTTTTTACGTAGTTTTGTTGAAGCAAACCTTACTAAATTATATTTACTTATCATTGATGTCTGTAATAGTATTCAATTGTCAATATTTGCATTAAATACTTTAGAAGATTTTTAAAGAATAGTCCAATATTTTGTGGTCTTACCCAAGTTTCAAAATAATTACTATTAGTTATTTCTTAAATATAATGTATTGGATACAGAGCTCAATCGAAAGACGGCAGTTTAGTAGTGTCTAAGTGCATAATATGAGCCGACTGAACTTGTAAGTGCGTAGACGCCTGTATAATTTTGCCATGATAGATTGATTATTGAAAACTCGTTGAAGGCGAAATATCTAAATCTTTGAAAACAGTATATTACATACGTAAAGATGGTACATCTTATCCAACAACGCTATTCTGGCGCTACTTCATTTATTGCAAATACATAATCGTAACAAATAAGTATTTATTAATATTTCGTATGTTTACCGCAAATCGCCTTACCGAGTTTTCAAAAAAGCTTTGAGAAAGCCATCGAGTGCATCGCGAGTGTAAGGGATACAATAAAAAATATTTACAATAAAAATGTTTACTGTTCCTTGCTCTTTCATTTGGTTAGTATCCTTTACTTTTTTAACTGCGACATTTGTGAACCGATGTTGATGATTCTTTTTTGTTGGAAAGAGGATACCTCAGAAGTGGTCCCATTTAAATTTGAAGAGAATATTCCACCTCTAAGGGAGGCAAACTAGGGGATTAATGACTTTCGAGGTCGGTTTTTTTAGTATTCTGTACTGATTATGATATCAACTTACGGGACGAACATGACGTGCGCCTACTGGTAAGCGACACTCTTTCTCATAACAGTTCCAGTGCCGTTCTGTGCTTTGAATCGCAAAGATCTGAGACTGACACTGCCCCCTGAGATACGCGCCCAGTTCACAAGTCCCATGTGCCTAAAATTTCACCAACAACGTGCTCACACGTCAAGACCGGAACGCGTTGCTCACATTACTGCTACGTTGGAGAAATATTATGGTGGCAGTACTTTTCTGGACGAATTCTTTTGCAAGGAGCTCTACTGCTACTAAAACTATTATGACAGTGACAAACAATTACGTATTTCGTCCTAATAGGATACTTATACCCTTATGCTTCCATTTTCTTTTGCTTATCGTGTCCTTGCTCTTCATAATAATTTCTTGAACCTGAGCATTTACGCATACCGCCTCTCCTATCTAAAATTCAAAATTTATCTTTTACGCCATGGGAGAGGCCAGAGTGTAAAATAAATAACAATAAAATGTTATTTCAATTCTTGAAAAATAAACATGACATATTTCTTATAAAATAAAAATTATGATGCGTAAACACGACTTAATTGAATTTCAATTAGCATTATAATATTGCAATAAAAGTTGTATTACATTTATACATATTTTTTAGGAGAGTAGAGCTCCTTGTGAAAGAGTTCGTCCAGCGAAGTACTGCCACCTTACATTACTACCTATTACTGTGTTCCGGTTTGAAGGGTATAAGGGTGCTGGTGAAATTAAAGGCACATGGGACTTATGTCTCAGGGTGACGGCAGTCAGACTGGGTCGGGCGTGGGTAAGGGTCGTGGGGTGGGTTGGGATTGGGTTGACGGGTGGTTTGGGGTGGGTTGACGGATGGGTTGGGGTTGGGTTGGGCGTGAGTTGGGGGTTGGTGTGTGGTGGTGGGTTGGGTTTGTGGCTGGTTTGGGGGTGCCGGCACCCAAACGGCCCCCCCGACGGCCCCCCACCCGCCCCCCCAACCGGCTCCCCAACCGGGCCCCATCCTGCCACCCAACCGGCTCCCCAACCGGCCCCCAACCTGCCCCCCAACCTGCCCCTAACCGGCCCCCAAACTGGTCGCCCAAACAGCCCACAACCGGATACCAACCAGCACCCCTATCGGCCCCCAACCAGCTCCCCAACCGGCCCTCAACCTGCTCCCCTACCGGCACCCAAACGGCCCCCCAGCCTGCCCCCAACCAGCCACCAACCGGCTCCCTTAGCGGCACCCAACCGGCCCCCCAGCCGGCCCCCAACCTGCACCCAATCGGCCCCCCGACCGGACCCCCGACCAGGCCCCCGACCGGCCCCCCAACAGGCCCCCCAACCGGCCGGGATTGATTTTAATTGCAATTAAAATCAATTCAATTGAAATCAATTGCAATTAAAATCAATTGCAATTGATTTCAATTGAATTGATTTTTTAATCTGATTGAATTTCTGATTGAAATTTAATTGATTAACGCCCAACACTGGGTGACGGGCGCAGTGGCATAGCCCCTCAGATCTTTGCGATTGCTTTGGGTGGCATTGCAATTGTTATGGACAGGCGTGTAGCTTACCATCAGGCGCACTACTTGTTTGTCCCATTACTAGATATTATAAAAAAATAAAATATTATTGAAAGTGAAAATTATGGGATTAAAGATTGAATATATTTTTTCAAAACATGAACAATTCATGATGCTTGTTTGAACCCCCTTCGGGTAAGAACCTCCTCCAATGACCGCCAATCCTCTCGGTTTTCCGCGACACACAAGTCTCTGCCTGCCGTCTTCACCAGTTCGTCAGTTCTGAATACTTCTGATCAAAACAAGCTTAAATACAAAATCATTACTTAATAAAAACATCGAAAATTTTCTATTGAGGAGTCCTAACAGATATTCTTGACGCCATCGTCAGCTCCCGAGCAGGAGCATCTAAGGCTAGATATAGCGAAAGTGTTTCAAAATCGACTTGTCGGATCCCTACCTACAAACAACTGAAGATAAATAAACATTTGTAATCGATTAAACCATGTATACGTGAGTTGTAATTGTTTTGTTTTCTTCAAATTCAAATTCAAAAATTATTTATTGTTCTTTCCACCTTAACAATACAATTTACAGTGTATTTAAAGTAAACAACATCGTACAGTGAAATAGTGAGGTGGAAGACTGGACCTGTACTATATAGGTCACCAGGTATCCACCACCGGATCTCAATGATACAATATTATGATGTTTTTGAAATTAGTAAGACGTTAAGGGTAAATTGGCGTGATGATATGAAAATACACTATTTATTTGTTATTTTGAGAAAAGGTAGTATGACAAATTACTCCTTGTTACAATACAAGCCTCAATTAACATGAATCATGGAATGACGCCATGTCATTGGAACGAAGTTTGAGTCTTTACAACACCCTCCACAAATTCTTTAAGGAATTACGTGGCCAATAAAGTGATATGAATTTATTTCACTTTAGTCATAATGCTAAAAATGTTTTTCATGTTTTAAACACATACGATATTAAAATTTTATGAGAACACTTAAATACTTTTGGTCGTTTTGTGGACATATACCAAATTGCATCATGTCTTTTTTTACTTTTAAAGAGTAAGGTAAGTAATAAAATTTTAAGTAGATGAGTACATAATTTTTCACTTCTCTTGCTCTAAAAGTACGTCTTACGTACTCAATATAGCCTTACGTAGCTTAACGAGAGTAAAGTGCATCATTTTAAAGAGTAAAAAGTACCTAGTTTTTTAATTTACTTACAGTGACCTAGACAAAATCAAAACACAGTTAGTAGGTACTTGCTCTAGTTTGTGCCAAAAGGTACAGGTTCAATAAATTAAACAATATAATTACCATTAAAACAACACTTAAAATAATCACAAAAACAAAACAAACATAATTATAATTTAACATTGTAATACTTCATAAAAATAAATAAACCTACAGTTTTACAAAGATCGCTGCGCTGCGGAAATTTAATAAACTGCTTGTGTTTACAGGGTCAAGAACACGTCAAGCTTGACACTAAAGGTTTAAATTTAACTTTATGCCGCTTGCAACAAGAACGATCCATAGTCCAAAGTGTCAAGATTGATGTGCTCTTGACTGTACCTGTACCAAAGCGTAAGCGATTTAAAAATTTTTTTCTCGCAATCGAAGTGAAAAGTAAAGTTTTCACCTCAAGACTAAAAACTAATACCCCTCCGAGTAATAGACACGTACCTGGCTAACCACCACGGCTAATATATTGGCTCATTTAGTCCCTCTATAAAAATATATACTATGATTATGGTAGTATCTCTATAAAAAGCTCTAATTTTCGTATTTTGTTCACTACCGAGCAATAAGTTTAATTATATTGCATTTAAAATTTTCCACGACAGCAACAACAAAAATAAATTTAAAACGAAAATTTTCTAAAAGATTTTTTTATTTCTTTTAGGAGTAGCATGTTTCTAAGCCAATCCTAATGATATCTATCGCAATGAACTCCCCGCGAATGTGATTACAACCACTCTGAACCGCAATACGTGCCAATGGACATTTTTAAATATTTTGACTTATTTTTAGCCTGCTAATAATAATAAAGGTAGGTAACGTGACCCGTTCATCTGGCAACTGACATTTCGGGAACATAGGAGTAGACACTGGTAACACTAGTAAACTGGGCATCGAACTTAAATCTTATACTATTGCTGCTTTATTAAACAAGCACATAAAACAATTAAAATTGTTTATTTTTTGTTATAAATTCATTTAATTGACTATGATACCCAAAATCATTATAATCAATAACATTTTTATTTCTTCCTGGAGAATATTTTACCACCCGAGCCAGTCTGTAAATCGGGTAAATGGCAAATGTTCCGGAACGCTGGCAACCCGAAATTGAAAAAAGTTTGACAGATCGCTGTGAAGTAGTGTGGAAAGTGAACGTTTGTGTAGTTTGAAACGAAAATAATTTATTTTTATGTAGTGATTTTAAGGAATTTTGTAAGTTTTTGACTTAAACATTATATTTTATTAACATATTTACTTGTTTACTGTTACAAAAGTTACATATTTTCGCTTTGCGAAGTGTTTAAACTTTCGTTCCCGGAAACGAGTTACGTTATGGCTTTATTTATAAAAAGAAAAAAGTGAAAATAAAAAGGTTTGGTGCCAGCATCATCGGTGGCATTCCGATCTCCATGCGTAGGACTCTTTTGCGTTGGTTTTGGCGCGAATATGGAGCTTTTTGGTTGAAATGGGCGCGTAATTTTGGAAATCTTTAAATAGATTTAAAACCGACGAAAGTTTGGCAAACGGTTAATGAGCGAAAAGAAAAAGTAGGTGAGGGTTAGGTACTTGAAATAAAACTTGCCTTAGCCTAAATAATTTTTCTAGAGCGAAAATATTATTATGCAATGTTAGGTATATTTTTTTTATTATTCAAGAGCAAAGTTTTTGACCTACTTCTATACACATGTTTCTGCAAATGGATCTCTTTGTAAAAATCATTGTTTTCATTTGTCATCGCATTTAAATGAGGCCACAATTGACACAGTTTGTGGACGAGTATCCAATATGAATATAAATATTTTTTTAATTTAAGCTTTATGAAGTATAATGTAAAACTTAAAAAATATTTTTGTTTATCTGAACCAAACAAGAACATATATTATTAACTTGAAAGCTATCATTGTTCTCTTCTCCAAATGATTGTAACAGATTTCTTTCTGCAGTATTTCCTAACATAGGTAGTCATATTTATGGACAGTACTGGTGTTC